TAAACAAAGAAATAAGAGTTTCAAGCCTCTTGGAATTAGCAGAAACCCTGGTGCAGGTTTCAGTCTTGCCCAGGATGTGTGATTTGATCTTGGGGCCAAATTTATCTCACTCTCAAGAGGGCAGCAAGAGCCCAGTAGGCGTGTGAGTTAACATAGGGTTCGTTTCCCAGGAAGGGGAACGTCCAGCCCGGCCACCCCCTCTTCTCCAGGCACGAACTTCCAGAATAGGCCCAGCAGCCAGCCTCCCTCATCCCTGAGCCCCTTGGACACTGAGAATGGCCGTGTGGGGGCTGGAGCTGCGGAAGGACAGTCTATCAGAAGTGTCCTTTTCAGAAGTGGCAGCAGGAAGGTGGAAACGACACAGTCCCCAGTGTGTCGTTTAGTCCCCTTTAGTCCTTTCTGAGTGGCCTGGCCTGTGCTACCCATCTGGCATCTGGTCTGAGATGGTGGGACAGCAGGAACCCTGCCTGTGAAGTGCCTGAGTCATGACATGTTAGAGTTCATGGAGAGACCATCAAGTCCAAGGGAGTTCAAAGAAGATGTTAGCAGAATTCTTCAACGATATGGTAAAGACAAGCTTAGTAGGTAAGACAGACACCAGTGCAGGGGTGCAGGTTGAAGTGGGCAGAGGGCCTTGGAGCTCTGCCCCCTGTTCCCAATGCCCTGGGGTACACTCAAGGCACCTCAACAATCATCCATGGAACACAGTTGAAAAACCACAATTGGACCCACGCCACCCCCATGTGCAGAAGGGGCACTGCTGGCCAGTGAGGTGACATGCCATGGCCCGGGTCATGCAGCTGGTTGCTGGCAGGGCTGGAACTCAGAGCTTCTGCCTCTAAGCCTAGATCCACTTTCCACCACACCCACAGCGGCTCTCAGAAGAAACCGCTGTATTATTTTTAGGTCCTGGACATAAGGAAGCTGAACTGTCTGCAAGCTTGAGGTCTGGCCCACTCACACGTGAGACTCGTTTTCACACAGGCCGTCAACCACCACGAGGGCAGCTCCTTGAGGAGGGGAGTGGGAAAGAAGTGTGGCTGGTTTGCACAATCCGGCTCATCGAGCTGTGGCAGACCCGGGCCGGGCAGATCGTCACATGACCCCAGTGAAGCCTGACCTAAGGAGTGGCATTTCATTTTGTGGTCGTGTGATCCAGAGATTGTGCCCATCTCCTTAACCCAAGGACTCATTGTAACCTCCAGGCCACCACCTGAGAAGGAGAAGGGGGTCCTGGGTACAAGGACCTGGGGAGATCCAGATTAGGCTCCTTCCCCTGCCTCTGTGCTCGGGAAAACAGCACCCTGGAACACGGAGAAGGCAGAGCCAGAGAGTGGAAAACATTATGAAATCTTCAGAATAAAGTAAATTGATCGCTACTTTTTCCTGGAGGCAGAGACACTGTCCCCCAAGCCCCGCCCCTTTGTCAATGCTGAAAGAACGTCCCTGCTCTGTCACCTCCCCAACCTTCCCACACACGTTAGCAGAAGAACCTCTGCCCCTCTTCCCCCGGGCTGCCACTGTGGTAGAAGTTTGGAGAACAGAGGTTGATAATTTTTAAAAGGGGGTCCCACAGGCACCCTCCACAGCAGAAATGCTACAGCTGTGCTCGTGGGACACCTCACCGCCATCTGTGTTGAATACGCGTGAGCCAGAAAATGAGACCAAACCCCAGTGTCATAAGGCTGAGGGTGAGCTGGGGCCGTGGAGCCGACATGCTAGGCTCTTCCCTAGGCCCTTTGGGAAAGTTCGGTACTAGTGTCACCTCTGGGAAGCGGTGCTCAGAGCCAAAGACAAAACCCTGGGACTCAAATCCCTGTGGGAAGAAAGTCTCCTCAAATCCTCAAATCTTCTTGGTATGGTGCCCACCATCTGCGCAGATAATCTTTCCACACCGGTGCAGGTTGTAGCCTGAGATTAGGGACGCGTGGCCACTATCTCTATGGCTGCTCTGGCACCTGGTGGACACCATGAATCTTAGCTCCCTGAGTCGGGGACCCACCAATATTCTGCAAGAGTAAACTGCTGCCAGGCCTGGCTCAGGCCCTGCCGCTGGCCACCTTGCACCCAGGGGAGGAAGGACGGGTAGGGTTTGGATGCCCTTGTTGCAGGAGGGAATTGGCTGGGTCCATCAGAGGCTCTGCCCTTGGGAGGTGTTCAGAAGGGATTTGGGAGAGGGGCTGGAATGCTGGTGAACGCATTAAACCCCAGGAAACAGTCAGCCTGGCTGTCCCTGGCCAAGGCCAAGACACCCACTGCCTTCCTCCTTGTCTTGGAGCCACCCAGGCCTTTGCCAGGTCTGTGCACCTGCGTCTCCACAGTTCACAGACCAAGAAGAGGACAGAGTCACCAGCCTTACCTTCTAGACACACTCCCAGATTCTCTTATCTCTGCTAATTAATGCTTTTGATTCCCTTTCCCTTTTGTTGCCCCTGGGAAAATAAGCTGAACGTTCAGCTCAAGGGCACTTTCCCACCCCAGGAAGGCAGGCAGGGCTGCTTGGGCAGCGAGGGCTGGAGGCTCATGTGCTAAGACAGACCCTGAGCGGAAGAGGTTTTAGAGAACCCAGCCGGCCACAGCCGGTTCCATCCCGCCCACTCGTTATTAATGCAGCGCAGAGCCTCTCCAGGCCCCCTCCCCTTAGCTGTCCCAGCCAGGGCATCGATCGTCCTAATGGCAAGGCTCTGCAGTGGCAGGACTGAGCTGCTCTGTCCCCAAGCCTTCCTGTGGCTGCTAATTACCTGAGTCCAGAGACTCCACTTTACAAACGGGAAACTGGGGCCCGGGAGGCCCTGCCGGGAAGAAAGAGGGGAATGAGCGGAGCATTATGCCTTCCCCGCCTTCTGTGGCTGGCTCTGTCGCCCACCCAGGGCTAATTCCTGTGTGTGTGTGTGTGTGTGTGTGTGTGCGTGTGTGTGTGTGTGTGTGTGTGTATTCCCAGAACTGGGAACATGGACAGAAGTCTAGAGTGGGCAGGTGGATGTTAGTTCTTTCCTGAGCCCCAGGGGAGGAGGAGTCTTTGCACAGTGGCAGCTCCAGAATTGCTTTAAAAGAAGGGAACCAGGGTGACAATCTCCTTGGAAGGGGGCCAGAGGACTTGACTTGAAGCTGTATTTACAGACCATTCACACTGTCTGACTTAGATTGGATTTTTTGGGTTGTCTGTGGGGACTACTGATGGATTCTTGGGGTGGGGGATGCTCAAGCCCTCCAAGCTCTGCTTAGCTCCACCCACTGTGCTTTTAGCTGGGGGCCTAGTCCCCGACACTGGCCGGGAATCAACAGTGGGTGCAGGGACCAGGTTCCCAATGTGCCTGTGGTGGTGAGGGGGAAGAGGGAACACACCCTGGGGTCACGGGCAGCTGGCATTTACTAGGAATGCAAGCAGGTGAAAATGTCAGGCAAGAGCAGTCTTGGTTGACAAGACCCAGAGGCAATACTGGAGACCACAGCCAGACCCAGTGGAGAAGTGTTGGCCAGCTGAATCAGCTGGGGCAGAAGAGAGAGGGGGCGGGGGGACACTCTGTTAATGGTACTTGAATCTCCACGTACCCTTCCCACCCCCACTTGAGTGCCCTGGCAGAGACAAGGCTGCTCCTGGCCCTTGGAGGCTGCAGATCAGATAGGATGACAGTGGAAGTCCCCAGATACTCTCCACGCTGCTCCAAGCATCCATTTAGGGGATCAGAGGTAAGCTTAACTTTGGAGGAATTCAAGGAGGCCATATGCCATTAAATCTCGGAGAGAAACCTGTCAGAAGTAACAAAAGTACCTGAAACCAGCGATGTGAAATGTGAGATGCTGTCTACAGCTCCATTGGTTCTGCAGTCTTATAGAAATATTAAATATTCATCACAATAGAACATCAGCATCAACCACTACCACACCCACATGGTCTGTGGTCCTGAAACACGTGAGGTCCCCTCTGCTCAGGGACAGACTCATAGTGTGGGATGGGGAAGGGGCATCTGGACACCCCTAGTTTCCTGGAATGATCACACCTCCAGGGAAGGGCCGGGACAGGGTCTGAGTTCTCTAGGCCATAGCAGTAGCAAATCTTGGAACTGAAATTGACTTGAGAGTGAAAACTGTCCAGAAGATGGCCCATGGTGCCCGAAACCAGTCCGGAGCTCCCTGCAAGTCCGAGGCTGTGAGCTTCCTCTTCTTCCAACACCTCCCAGGCCCATTTGTAAGTGGAAAGTGGGGACCGACGTCTGGGGACTGGGAGCTGGTGCCGCAGGACCGGCTCTGGCGGCTCTGGCTCTCCTCACCACCCCCTCCAAAGGACCTGTCCTTCTATAGGACCAATCTACCCCCTCTCCCACCCAGCTGCATCCCTCCTTTCCAGCTCCTCCACCCGAAGCACCAGAATCTCTTTTCTCTCCGCCCACATTTTCTTTTTAAAAAATTATTTCAAGGGACAGTTGGAGTGGTTGCCAACATCGCTTCCCCAGGGGTGAGCACAACCCACCCCACCTGCCCTGCCTTTGGAAGGGCCACAGCCCAGCTTGCTTAGTGTGAGTTTAAGGGTTGGGGGTGGGCGCAAGGGGGACACTGGTGCCCCACTTCTGAGCCAGTTCTTCGCGGTGGGGAGGGGGGCTGTGAAGAGGATGGAATTGAAGGTGGGGTCCCAGGAGGATGTCTTTGGCTAGAGGTGGAGTTTCTCTCTCCAAGGCAGAGTCTGGCCCAACCTGACCCAGCTGGGCTCCCACCAAGGCCACGATCTCTTACGCCCACACCCCACCTCCCCACTCGGGACTCAGGTTCATTCCACGGGGAATTCACACGCACCCGGGCCGGTGGTCCCATCCTAGCTCTCCCGGCCAAGGCTAAGATCCACATCTTCCAGGGGAGTCAGTGTAGAGTGAAACGGGGCGAGGCCAAGGTCATACGGGAAGACAGAGGCAGGACGGTGACTGGAGGGAGTGAGAGGGGTCCTTAGGCCGGGGATCCCTCCCCGACGGTCCTCTGGGGCCGGGGGCTGGGGGAGGCGCACTCACCGCCGGGACCACTTGGCCGACGGCCTCCCGAAGGGCCGCTTCCACAGCACCCCGTAGAGCTGCACTTTGGTGCTGATGTCCAGCGCGTCCGCGTCAGTCTGCTCCAGGGAAGGCGAAGGTGACACAGAGTTGGACTTGGACGTGAACATCCTGCCTCAGCTGGGCTGCCCCCGGCCCGGAACACCCCCTTTCCCCCCGGGGCCGGCAGGGTCGTGGGGCCCCGGGCGAGCGCCAGTGGCGGGAGGCGGTGGCGAAGCGGCGACCACGAGCGGCTCGGGATGCCGTCGGGGCGCGTCCCAGCGAGCAGAGACGCCGAGCAGCCCCGGCTCGGAGCTGCTGCGTGAAAACGCGCCGGGCACGGGGCGCGCAGCCGGCGGCTCGGGCTCCGGATTGCGGCTGGCCGGCGGGACCTCGGCCGGGAGGGAGGCTCAGCCTCGGGCCCGAAGCATCCCCCCTCCCCCAAGCGACAGCCCTAATTCTGGTGGCCCCGATTGGCTGGGAGTGGCAGGTGAGCCGGCTGGAGGCTGGCCTCGGGCGCCAATCAGGGCGGGCGTCGGCTGGAGGGCCGGGCTCAGTGCGTCCGGAAGGTCCCGGCGGGACGCCCGACCCGGGCCTGGGCCACAGCCCCTCCCCAGTCCCACCCCACGCGCCCAACACTCCCGCGAGTTCCCTCTCGCGAGCAGCGCCTACATGGAAGCGGGGGACACGTCTGCCATGCGATGGGCTTGGAGTCACTCCTGCGGATACCTACTCGCCTCTGGGTGGAACGGAGGAAGGAGCGAGGGGGTGGTGTCAGACAACCCGGCTTGGAATTCCAACTCGGTCCTTATATCGCTCAGTAAACTGCGGGGGGCCTTGATTTCCTCACCCTTAAAGTGGAGATGCGTGTACCTCCTTGGGCAGGCTGGCGGCCACGGAAGACTACGGGAAATGCCCGAAGCGCCTGCCCCGACAGGAGGCTCCTTCAAGATTGGGGGCCCCTCCCCGCCCCCTCTGGTGGGATTCGCTTTGCGCCGCCGCCGCCTCGTCCGGATCGAATTTCTTTCCTGGAACTTGACTGTCTATGTCGGCGTTTGGCACTCAGTGCCAATCTCGAACTATCAGTGCACTTTATGTTCGTGATTTATCTGCGCGCCCGGTCCGTGCTCCCTGGGGCTGGGTGCCCCATCCACTTCCGCTCGTTTTTGGGTAGGCATCGGGTGACGGTCTCATTTTCAGGCCAGGGCAGACGTCTGCCCAGCCCTGGGGGACCGCCTTCCTCCCAGCGGCGGGTGGAAATGCTAGGTTGGCACAGCTGCTGGCACCACGCCAAAGGCAAGGAATTGAGAGTGCGCAGTAAAAGGCCGCTGGCTAGACCAGGCTGCAGTCACCCCTTTCCAGGCTAGGAGCCCCAGGACGTCTCTGAGCAGGCATGATTCACCTGTGCCCTTCGGAAAACCGCTGTTCAGCGTCAGGGTCTCTGATTCCTCAGGTGTAAGATAAAGAAGTCCGATTAGAACAGAAGTGTGCAAATGGTTAGTCTGAGAGCCACATACTTTACAGAGAGACTTTATTTCCACAAGTAAAAAATTCCGGTTTTTTTTTCTTTTCTTTTCTTTTTCTTTCTTTTCTTTCTTTCTTTCTTTTCTTTCTTTCTTTTCTTTCTTTCTTTCTCTTTCTTTCTTTCTTTTTCTTTATCTCTCTCTTTTTGAGACAGGGTCTCAGTCTGTCGCCCTGGGTAGAGTGCAAGAGTGCAGTGGCATCATCATAGCTCACAGTAACCTCAAACTCCTGGGCTCCAGCGAACCTGCCTCAGCCTTCTGAGTAGCTGGGACTACAGGCTCGCACCACCACGCTCTGCTAATTCTTTCTATATTTGGTAGAGATGGGGTCTCACTCTCGCTCAGGCTGGTCTTGCACTCCTGACCTCAAGCAATCCCCCGCCTCAGCCTCCCAGAGTGCTAGGATTACAAGCATGAGCCACCGTGCCCACCCGAGGTTTTCTTAATATGGGGTAAAATGCACAGATCTGAAGTATTCATTCAATGAATGTATATACCATGTAACCATCACCCAAAGCAAGATACAGTACATTTCAATCACTCCCAGAAAGGTCCTTCATACCCTTTTCTAGTCAATTTCTCCCCCCACAACCCCTGTTATCATTCTTACCATTTGCATAGTGCTTTAACATTTTTGAATTCAATGCCTAAAGGGTCATTCTCCACAGACCCTGTCATCATCTGCCCTGGTGTCTTCCTGCCTGGCTCCTCCCTGCAGGCATTCTGATTTGTGACCCTCACTAGATGCTCCCCAAGGCCTTCGCAGGTCTCACATTTTATGAATCTGTTAAGAAGGGGCCTCAGGGCAGGGTGAGGTGGCTCATTACTGTAATCCAGCACTTTGGGAAGCTGAGGCAGGGAGGATTGATTGAGGCCATGAGTTTGAGACCAGCCTGGACAACATGGCTAGACCCCATCTCTACAAAAATTTTTTGAAAAATTAGCCAGGTGTGATGGCACACATTGGTAGTCCCAGTTACCCAGGAGGCTGAAACAGGAGGCTGTCTTGAGCCCAGAAATTCAAGGTTATACTGAGCTATGATTGAGCCTCTGTACTCCGGCCCAGGTGACAGAGTGAGACATTGTTTCTTAAAAGAAAAAAGGGGAGGGGGCTGTGCGTGGTGGCTCATGTCTATAATCCTAGCACTCTGGGAAGCTGAGGCGGATCACTTGAGCTCAAGAGTTGGAGACCAGCCTAGGCAAGAGTGAGACTCCGTCACTACGAAAAATAGAAAAAGTAGTTAGGCATGGTGATCTATGCCTATAGTCGCAGCTACTTGGGAGACTGAGACAGGAGGATCGCTTGAGCCCAGGAGTTTGAGGTTGCAATGGGCTATGATGCCACTGCACTCTACCCAAGGAGACAGAACAAGACTCTGTCTCGAGAAGAAAAAAAAAAAAAAGCAGGAGCTTCCGGAGGGCTTCCTTGCTTACCACCTGGCACCTTCCCTTAACTGACTCTGGAGTTTCCAAGCCCAGGCAGTTTCCCATTGTTGCTCCCTGTCTGGAGGAGTCCATCTGAATTCCTTGTGCTTCTCCCATGGCTCACGTTCCTCTGCAGAACATCTCAGGCTGAGCTTTAACACAGAGTCCCAGCCCCCGGTCCACCAGGTGGAAGGAGACAGGACTGGGAAGATGATGAAAGCTAGAGCTATAAGAGGTGCTATATCACCATTGTTTCTTAGAGCTGAATAGTACTCCATGGTATACATATACCACAGTTTATTAATCCACTCATGTATTGATGGACACTTGGGTTGTTTCCACATCTTTGCAATTGTGAATTGTGCTGCTATAAACATTCGAGTGCAGGTGTCTTTTTCATAGAGCCACTTTTGCTCTTTTGGGTAGATGTCCTGGAAAGCGCTGGAACACATTCTACTAAGCGAGGTATCCCAAGAATGGAAAAACAAGCACCACATATACTCACCATCAAACTGGTATTAGCTGATCAACATTTAAGTGCACATATAAGAATAACATGTATTGGATGTTGGGGAGGGAGGAGGAGGGAACGGGCATATGCACAAACAATGAGTGCGATGCGCACCTCCGGGGGAATGGACACGCTTGAAGCTCGGACTTAGGGGGGAGGGAGGGTAAGGGCATCATATGTAACCTAATCATCTGTACCCCCATAACATGCTGAAATAAAAATTAAAAAAAACAAAAAAGCTAGAGCTAGAGTGCAAAGTGGACATTTCACTCTTTTTTTTTTTTGGCCTAGTTTTGACACATGTTCTCATGCCTGGAAATTTTTCCACTTTAGCAGTCTTACTTTTCTAAGACAGAAGCTAAAGGACTTGTGTTATGAGCCTGTGGTATGGAGTTCACCAGTCATGGGCACTGGGACAGAACTTTAAGTTGTAGGTGACAAACATGAGGAAAAAGCACGCACAGCCCTGCATTTTTCAAGGGAACATGGTAGCAAAAGCATCTGACTTGCTCTGGGTGTCAGCTGTGCGTTCCTGAGGCGGCAGCGGCAGCAGCATTCGTGCTGGCTGAGTTGGCAGGACACAAACAGCAGCAGCAAGTGCTCTGTGGCAGCTGCCGCTTTCTCATCAGATCGCTTCTGCAGCATGGTTTTGGGTATGGTTCCTGGCAGCTCTGCCTCAGGCCTGGTTCTCTGGCCCTCCCAATATCCTTTTAGTAAATTCCTTCATTTTCTGCTGAATCGGGTCAGTAGAAGCTTTGGCTGCTTGTGTTAAGGACTAGCACAAGCTTGTGAGCCAAGGGCCAGAGAAAGGCAGGATACCTGGAATCATGAGAAAGAGGTCCTTCACAAGGAGAAGGGCTGAGTGAGCCCCGAAAATCCTGGGAAAGGCTCGGTTTCTCCAATGGAGGAAACGGAGCACATGTTTCTTCAATGGCAAAAAGAAACCAGTCTTTGCCCATTTCCTCTGCACAGAGGACATCTGAAAAGACCTTAGCTAACAGTGGTTAAGGCTGACCACCCTGAGGCAAACAGACAAAGTCTGATCAACCACTAGATACTTGAAAGGGTTCTGTTTCCCTTCAACTAACCAGTGCAGATCATGCCAAGTCAGTCTTGGAAGAAGCTCTTTCTGCTTCCATTGTGTTCTCTGCCCCAGCTGGTGGGAGTGCCGAATGCCTAGCTGATAGTTTGGCAGAAGACAAAACAAGCTGGGTGCCAATCCAGTGCCCCAGACCAAGAGGGTCAGAGCTGCCCAATCTTATCAGAAACTAAGAGAGACTATCAGGGGTGGGACTCAGGGTCCCCACGTGCCCTATACTGCTCAGACGCAGAGCTGATGTTCTAAATACATTATTTACAACTGACCCATTTCATTTTTTTTTTAAACAATGAGCTTGGAACCATTTCATTTAATTTTACAACAGACCCACAAGGTACATACTATTTTTAGTTTTCCAGATAAGAAAAATAAAGTTCAAAAAAATTGGTCACACAGCTAGTAATTTCCTGGAACACGACAGGCCCTAAATACGTGTTGCATGAGGGAAAGTGGCAGGCTGAAGATACTTGGTTTGTCCTAAGCCCACCCCCTTCACATAGCAGCACACTATCATGTGGACTAAAGTGCAGTCTAGGAAAATATTAGGCTACTTTCAGTCTGTCCCCTTTTTTCAGGAATTTCTCTCAATTGCCAACTCACCTAAGGTTCAAAGTTCCTGTCGAACTAAAGAAGCAAGTCTTCTTGCACTATAAAAT